ATAGAGGTTAGGCTGATGGGCCTGTAGTTTGCTGGATCTACTTTCCTCCCTTTTTTGAAGATAGGCACCACATTGGCCCTCTTCCAATCGTCAGGCACTTCACCAAAGCCCCAGGAGTTCTCAACGATCCATGCCATGGGCTGAGCTATGATGCCTGCCAGCTCTTTGAGTACCCTTGGGTATAAATGGTCAGGGCTGGCTGACTTTTGCCACCCTGGCAGTGAAGAAGTTTTTCCTGATGTCTAGCCTAAATCTGCTCTCTGTCAGTTTTTTGACCATTGTTCCTTGTTACTCCAAGAGGCATTCTGGTGAACAGAGTATCTCTGATACCTTGCTGTGCCCTCCTAATGAATTTGTAGGTGTCCACAAGATCACCTCTTAACCTTCTCTTGCGGATGCTGAAGAGGTCCAGGTCCCTTAGTTTCTCCTCATAGGGCCTGGCCTGTAAACCCTTAACCATATGAGTGGCCCTCCTCTGGACCCTTTCAAAGATATCTACATCCTGGTTACAGTATGACGCCCAAAACTGGATGCATTACTCCAACTGCAGTATGACAAATGCTGCATTGAGGGGAAGTATCACCTCCTTGGTTCTATTTGTCATGCATGTGCTGATGCATGATAAAGTGCAGTTAGCTTTGATGATGATTTTATCACACTGATGACTCATGTTCATCTTGGAGTCCACTATGACTCCAAGATCCCTTTCCGCTTCTGTGCTGCTGAGGGGGTCATTTCCTGGCCATTAGGTGTGCTGGATATTTTTACATCCTAGGTGCAGTGCCCTGCATTTGTCCTTGTTGTACTGCATCCTGCCCACTTTTTCAGCCTATCCAGGTCTGCCTGTAATTGTTCCCTCCCCTCCGGAGTGTGCACTTCACTTCACGGTTTAGTATCATCCACAAACTTGGACAGAGTACGCTTCACACCCACATCCAAGTCACTAATTAAGACATTGAAGAGTACAGGTCTAAGGACCAAGCCCTGCAGGACCCCGCTATCCACATCCTTCTACTACCACTCTCTGGGTGTGACCCCCAAGCCAATTTGCCATCCGCCCGGACCATGTAAACATCTAAGTCACAGCCTCTTAATTTATTTATGAGAATGGGATGAGATACCGTATTGAAGGCCTTCCTAAAATCTAGGAAAACAAGATCTACTTGTACTCCTGTGTCTATGTAATGTGTAGCAACCCCAGACTGATGCTGATGAAAGCTGATTGTCAGCATTAGCATGGGGAATGGGGTGTTGGATTTTGGACTGGGAAAACCCTAGTCCCTATGCTGAAAAACAACTGCCAGGAGAATGAATTGCAAGGGTCCCTGATGAGGGGGAGCTGAGAGGCTCTGGGTGCTGGGAACGTGGCAGCTCCTGAACCTGGAAGCCTCTCCTGCTTTGCCCTTGTGACCCTGTAAGCAGGTATGCACTTCCATCCCACTGCCATACAGGAATTCCACTGACCTCCGTCTCATCCTCCTACTCACCCACCACATCTTGATGGTAAAATTATATTCAGGAGGATGGATGACTCCTGGACTGAGGGTCAGTCTGGCAGGGTCACTGGTCTTCTGCAGGCTACACCTTCCTACACCCTGCCCCTTTCCTCTCAGGCTGATGGTAGCTATTCCCAAATTATTGTGGGGAATGCCTAGTAATGTCACTTCTCAGGTTTCCCCAAGCTCTTTAATTAGCAGCTTCTCAGTCTCTTCTTTCTCTAGCCAAATTTCTCCTTGGCTCAGATAGTTGGGTTATCCTTGGAGATACTTAATTAACTCTTTCCTGTCTCTTCCCAGCCTTGCCTCGAGCCTTACTGACTTAATCTCTTTGAATATCTCCAGGTGCAGGATATAGAGCCCTGCTTAACCATAAATCAAACCCTCAGGGAATCCTTCTTCCCAGCTTTTTTCATTTATACAGGGAAAGTAAAGGTGAGTTCTTTGTCAGTGGTGTGGCAAGGGACCTTTGTCACCTGCTCAGGCCCTTAAAGTGGCAGGTAGTGAGGCAGCCTGCAGGTGACTGCAGAGCCAATCAGGCAGTCACATGACAGCCAGCTGGCCACCTGATTGGAGCTAGGCTTTGGAGCCTCGGCATAAGAGCAGACCCTGAGAGGCAAAGCCGGGGAGTTGCTGCAGGGATGCTTCCAAGTTAACATTGCCCAGCTGGAGCTCCTCTGCTCCCAGGAACATCTGGAGGTCTGGGTAGGAACTATGAGTATGGAGGAGGTTCCTAGGGACACAGTAGGGTCCCAAGCCCCAAGGAAAAGGCTAAGGGCCTAAGGAAGAGCTAGGAAGGGGCTTGTAGCTTGTGGGCTTACACAGGGGCTAGGCAAGCCCCTGATTAGAACTGGAAGGGGCTGAGGCTGGAGGCTCAGGTGAGCCCAGTTGAGTGAAGGGCTTCCTCATATAAGACCTCTGAGGCAACAGGCCAGACCAGCTAAGGATGGCTTTATGGTGGGGCCCAGAGTGGGACCCTGGCTGTCTAAGGAGATCAGCTGCTGCTTCACTGATGCCAGAAAACCCTGACTGGTCAAAGCAAAGAGGCCAGGGCTGAAAGGCAATTAAGCCCACCATGAGGTAATCCAGGGCTGCAAAGAGCCATCTGGCACCCTGAATGGCCTAGAGGTGGGGCCAGAGCCTAAAGAGGCTGAATGTCCTTTCAGTGGAGGGGGGCATTACTGCCAAAGGGATGACAGGCTCAGCTGGACAGCAGGCTGGATTGAAGGAGAATGAAGTTCAGCCTGTCGATGGGACGCATCCATTAAGGGGTCAGAGAGAGATGGGCCAGAGGAGGAGCGAAGTTATGAGATGGAGGCTGCAATAGAGTGCCAGAGTGCATAGCCCAGGGAGAACATCCAGGAGCCTATAGGGGCAAAGAAAGACCAGGGCAGGTAGGCTTGCATGGATCCTGGGGAATGACCTAAAACGAAGATGCCCAGTTCTCTCCCCAGGCCAATCAGTGCAGGCTCCATGGGGCATGTGTTCACATACCCTCAGGGTCTGCCTGTTTCCCAGATTTTCCCTGGACCCTCTTCCCTGGCACACTGGGGATGTACCACTTTCCCAGACCCATCCCACTAAATTTCCTGCGAGAGCTGCCAGCTCTGTGGAAGTGTAGCACGGACTTGGGCGGAGCCCCTGCTACAGGCACCCACAGAACAAGACACTTAAAAATGGCAGGTGACTGAGATCTGGGCTGAGCCTATGATTTTTAGACATCCCAGGTAATGGGGACTCCAGGATGAGGAAGAAGCTCCCCGATCCCAGGGTCCCAGTGCTCCAGGACTTCTAAAAGCCATGTGTGCAGCTGGACTGTCTTGGGGTGGGCTGACAATCAGCTGATTGTCAGACTCTCAGCCCAACAGCCTGGGGTCTTGAACCCACCTAGGGCTCTTGGGGCCAGTCCAAAAATCCAGCTCATTGTCAGACCTGGTCCTGACAGTCCTTTGTCCAGTTTGAGATCCAGGGCTGTTGATGCCGGGGCTGACAAACAGCTGATTGTCAGACATGGCCCAGACACCCACGGTCTTGAATGCAGCCAGGGCTGTTGGGTTTGGGTCTTGCACTGGGTGCAGGACTGTCAGATCAGTCTGACAAGCAGCTGATTTTTCAGATGCAGCCCTAAGAGCCCTGGCTCTGAAACCTCTGTGGGCTTGAGGCAGCCCTGGTTCTGAGACAGAGCCACCTCCTACTTGATTGGCAGTGGCGTGATTGGGACTGGAGGAATTTTATGCCCAATCCCAAACATTGTGCCTCCTGCCATGAATGTCTGGGCATGAGGTTGCGGATTGAGCATAACATTTCTTTGATTCCAAATACACCATCATTTTAATTTCTGTCATGGGGCTAATACTGGTGGACCACGTTCTCTGCTTCTTGAGCTATCTTTGGTTTTCTTTGGTTGGAGAAAGGGTGGGGAGCAAGAGCCACTCTGACCTGTGCCTGCTAAATATGGTGTTTTACAGACAATGGTGTTTTACAGACAGTACACCAAATGGGGATTTCCAATCTCTGTACATTCAGGCTACTTCATCTGCCCAACCCTCCCCATTCCTACATATCTTCTATACCAGAAGATGCGGGGGGAAGGGAGAGGGATGGCTTAGAAATGGAGTCACTTTGCTTTATTCCTGCTAAAGCACCTAAGACAAAAATGTAGGAAGAGGTTTCTACACTTCTTGCACTACATGAAATGTACAGAACAGTGAAGAATTTAATGCATTTCAAACTATTAAATGCTAATGGCTTGATACTGATTTTGTTTATATGTGCTGATTCAGAGCAGCAGAAAATTTTGCCCAAGACCTTTCATGGAATAATTCTTGTATACATCACATGCATATTTTTCTTTGCACAGGGTTTAAAAGGTGATCCTGGTAATCCTGGTATGGCTGGCCCTAAAGGAGAAAAGGTACTTGTTTGTGTGTGAAGATACATGTCTGTTTAAACTAATTAATATATTAAACCATTTAGTTTATACAGATGCATATTTCATATGCAAAGTTACATTAAAAGAATGTTAAAATTTTTCATGTTAAGCACTAAAAAGTTGGGAAATGCAGTATAAGGTTATTTATGCAATCCTATTATGTTGTGATGTAGTCTTTAATTTCATACATTGCATGCAAATTTTCCCACAGCCTCCTACCTTGAAGTGCAAGATGAATGTGTTCTAAGTATGAGTTGGTACTTTGTTTTATCCCCATTTTGCTTTTTTTAATTTTGTATTACCGTCATTGTATTGTATGTGATCCCAGGTCTACAATCCTTATGTACCCTATTCCAATCTAGTTCTCAGTAAACAAATATTTAAATTAATGTATTTTGTTCTGAAGATAATTTAGTATACAATGTGCTTTTCTTTTCAGGAGTGTAACCATCACTTATTTTTCTTCCGTAGCTAAATTCCATTGAAAAGCACATATGCTCTTACCATGTTTTCCTACTTTAAATATGATCTATCTGCATGTTTTAACTTGCTAAGTATAAATACAAATTATTCTAATAAAAATATCAACAGGATGTGTAGATTAAAAAGAAAATAAAATTGGGTGTCATGGTTATTAATATTAGACCTTCTCAAAGCCCCTCTTCCTATTTTTGTGTGTCATCCCTTGTCAAATTTATGACCTAAAGCTCAAAGCCTTATGTAGGGGCTCAGGCCTTGGGGATCTAAAATGTCAAAACACTTACACATATGAGTGATTTTATATATGTGAGCAGTCCCATTCAGTTAAATAGAAAAGCTTGTGCATTCAAAGTTAACTTTATACAAAAGTATTGTCAGGATTAGTTCCTTAAACTGTAATTCTTTGCATTGGGGGCCTGTCATTTTGTTTTTCTCTAAAACTCTATGTATAGCTGTGGCATGTATAACAAATAAATAAATAACAACATTTCATATTAGTGTCTGTGAACTGAGATCGTGTAGCTGACAGCTATTTCACATTTATTTATATGCTGTCTCATGTTCACTAACTGTGCTATAATTTGTGTAACTATAAACAGACTTCTGATTTGTTTTCCCCCTTTGATTTTACTAGGGAGATTCAGGGCTACCAGGACTGG